CATACTTAGCTCTCTCTCTCTCTTATACAAACTTTCCCTTGAATAAAGGAGCTCCCTTTCTAGACCCCTCATCTATTAAGCATACTTAGCTCTCTCTCTCTCTCTCTCTCTATATATATATATATATATACTTCGAAATTTTTATTTGTTTTGGTAAGTCCGTATTCATACTTTGAACTACCACTTTCAATATACAAATAATGTTACTTTCTATATACATGATAACCAAAAATACCATTGATAATTCTATGCTCCCTCAGACGTCTTCATTCAATTGATAGTATTCTCATTGGGAAAGTATAGAATGCAACCATTTATTTTTGATACAAGATTAAACATTAATTTTGACCATTGAATGTGAAATTGGGTGGCTAAAATTATTCCATCGACCAAGCTCATTATTCTAAAGAAATTTTCTCAAATTTTGTGACTCAAAGCTATCAAACTTCACATCGGATGATTGTAAGTAATTGTGACCGCCTTATATCAAAGTTTCTCATTGTATACAATCTCATTCTCATTAAGCCAATCAATCGTGATCCATGCACCCATATTTAAATAAAAAGAGCTTCCCTTCTGTGCCCCTCATCTATTAAGAATACTTAGCTCTCTCTCTCTCATACTTCAAAATTTTTTTGTTTCGGATAAGTGAGTATTCATACTTTGACCTACCACTTGCAATATATAACTGATAATGAAGCAACCCTCCACGTCTCTTCACCGACCACCCACCATCTGATTCTCGAAGTCAAATGTTAGATGGCATGTGATGGCACCCATTGACAAAAATAATAGGGGTGAGGTTTTGTATAAGGTGTCAACTTTATACTATTGAAGTAAAGTGCACTTCAAAACTACATCAAAAATACGGTTTCGGTGCCGCAAAGCTTTGCAATGATATGAAAATATATGGTTGCCCTCAATTGTGAAATTTAAAGTTTCAGAAATGGTGATGATCAAACAGAACAATAAACACTTGAAAATTATGAAAATGTACAGTCCACAATGTCTTAGAAGAAAACTATTTTTAGGACTAAAAATCTCTTCTTTTTTTCCATGTCTATGAATCTCAAGGTCGAGATGAACGATTTGAAGAATTTCCAGTTTTCTAGTGGGTTTTTTTTATGACACCTTAGATAAACTTTTTCCAATAACGAGATGGCATGTGAGAGCGGCCATTGAAAACTTCCCCATACTTCTTTTAATAGTGACTTAAATTTCCTTGCAGGCCAAACTGAAATGATTTCCTACTTTCAAGTTTCAACCATTGTAGTATCAGGTCAATGGCCTCTTGTGAAGACATGTCTTTCTCATTGCAGCTCTTGAACCATTTCCCTGCCTTTAACCTTGCTTTTTTGAGCTGCCCACCTAAGCCTACAAAACCTTGACCATCTTCTCTGGAGTTCTTGAACCATTTCCCTGCGTTCAACCTCGGTTTTTTGAGCTGCCCACCTAAGCCTACAAAACCTTGACCATCTTCTCTGGATAAACCTGAAGTGCATTCTAATGATGTCTGTCTTCATTAATCCCCTTGTCGAAATTGTGAAAATTTTATTGGTTCCGGTTTCTCGGCATATCGGGTATCTTGTTAAGTCGAAAGTAAAGGTTTGTGATCTGGAAGTGGAGACGTGCCGACTCGAGGACAAAAGGGCTGATTTCATGGCTGGAGTTGAAGTGGAAAAGATTAATGGGAAGGTGCTGACAAAGGAGGCGAACGGGTGGTTCCAAAGAGCACAAGATTTGGAGCTCCAAGCAGACCAAGTGGTTGCGAGATACAATGATAGGAAGTGTTGCTTTGGAGGGTTGTGTCCTAATTGCCCCTCCAACTATAAGCTCGGCAGGCGTGCGGCAAAGAAACGTATAAGAGTCACTGCCAACATCGATGTAGCCGATTCTGTTCAATGGACCATGGCTGCACCACCATCGCTAGGGAGGGAGATGCCTGCAAGAACCATAACAGGTCAGTACACATTCAAGAAAATTTTGACTGAAATACTAAACTGCTTAAACAATGACGAGTTGGGTACGATTGCTGTTCATGGAATGGGTGGAGTGGGAAAGACCACGCTCATGCACCATGTTAACAATTCTCTTGGGAACTCGGGAATTCAATAAAATACTATGGGTCACTGTATCTCGCAAAAATACAGAATTCCATTGCACGACAAATAGGATTAGAATTAAATGTGGAAGATGAAGAGACGGTTGCTGAGATATTGTTTGTGAGTTTAAATCGACAAAGATTCATGCTCATCTTAGATGATATGTGGGATTTGTTGGATATAGATAGGATAAGGGTCCCTCGACCAAATGCACAAAATAGGTGCAAGATCATAATTACCACCCGACAGTTAGCAATATGCAATCTGATGGAGACTGATAAAATTACAAAATTGGATGTTTTACAAAAGGGTGATGCATGGAACTTGTTTCATCAGAAAGCAGGAGAGGTCGTAGATTTGCCAAACATAGAACCCTGTGCACGTGAGATTGTCCGGGAGTGCAGTGGACTTCCACTTGCCATTATCACAGTTGGTTGTGCGATGAAGGGGAAGAGTAGTGTTCAGGTATGGGAAAATGCATCAAGAGCCTTGCGTGAGGCATCACCAGAGATAGAAGGTATGGAACGCCAAGTCTTCTCATCTTTAAAATATAGTTATGAACGGTTGGAGGGTGAAAACATCAAATCATGCTTCTTATATTGTTCACTCTTCCCCGAAGACTATGAAATTGAAAAGGATGAGTTGGTACAGTATTGGATATGCGAGGGGCTCACAGGTAGAGTAGACAGTCCAAAATATGCAAGAAACAAAGGGCATGATCGAATTGAAAAGCTGTAGAGTCATGCATGCTGGACAAGATCCCTAGTGATACTAAAGTGAAGCTTCATGATTGATCCGTGATGTAGCACTGTGGATTAGTTCCTCTTCCAGAAATTTTGGCAAGTTTTTGGTAAAAGCTGGTTTGGGACTGCAGGAAGCACCCATGGTGGAAGACTGGATAGTAGTTGAACGTATATCATTATTGGGGAATGAAATAAAGAGACTTCCGAATAACCCTTTTTGTTCAAGACTCGAAACATTGCTACTTCAAGGAAACCAAACTTTGGAGAACATTCCCGATGGCTTATTTGAAAGTATGGAGGCCCTCCAGGTGCTCAATCTCAGTTTCACAAAACTATGCTCACTACCTCCATCCTTATCAAACTTGAGTAATCTCCGTTTCCTTTCTTTGGGAGATTGCAAAAACCTAGAAGACATTCCACCCCTAGGGAAGCTCAAGCAACTCCAAGTTTTGAACTTAAGGGGCACAGGTTTCACAAGATTGCCTCAAGAAATGGGAGAATTGGTCAACTTGAGGCACCTTGACCTGAGCTATACTAGTGACCTTCAAGAAATTGAGTATGGGTTAATATCAAGGCTAACTAACTTAGAAGAGCTTGACATGTATGAGAGTCGATACATTTTGGAAATGGAAATGGTGGTGCAAAATGGGAGGAGTTGGAGGGCTTGAAACGCTTAAAGTCACTTGGCATATCCATCATTCTTGATGTCAAATTTCTTAACATACCTGTCGTAGAAACAATGTTTTCGCATCTCAGAAAATTATACCTATGCAAATGCCATGGATTGACAAATTTTTATCACATATCAGCTATGACATCCTTGAAAACTCTGTACACTGATGGGTGTCTAGATTTGAAGTGGCTTGATATAGGTAGGGGACCCAGCTTAGAGTGGTTGGAACTGTATGAGTTGCCAATGCTGAAGAGCATATGGAGCTTCGATGTTCCAATTGCTTGCCATCATAATAATCTCAGACGCGTTGCAATAATTTGCTGTGACAGCATCTCCAAAACTTGGAATTGATTCAGATAATTAAATGCAACAGCATAGAAGACATAATCACTGGAGCGATAGAGGACAGCAGACTTCCAAAATTAAGGGACTTGAACCTCAGAAGTTTGCATTCACTGAAGAGTGTTGGTGGGAGTGTCGGGGCCTGGTCTTAATTGGAAGTTATCCAGGTAACTGATTGTCATAATTTGAAGAAGCTACCTGCAGGTGTGAGAGAAGCAAACGGTCTAAGAACAATTAAAGGGGAACAAGAATGGTGGGGGGGATTGGAAGACATAGACGATGCAGAGTCTGCTCTTCAACCTCTCTTTCACCCGGTAGATGCTCACATTTGAAATGAAAATATTGTGATGGGCTTAATCTGTGCCAATGTTCAAGAAGGTGGATGCAGCTGCCTAGGCAGGCGCTTAGACAAAAAGGTGGCACTAAGGGAAGGGGTTGAGGTAGGGGCTGTAGTTGTGTGTGTGTTCTGTAAACGTGTGTATGTATGTGTTTATTGTGCGTGTGGGCATGCGCATGTATGTGTGTGCGTGAGGTCTCATATAAAATTCTTAAAGATCACCCTCTTCTCTTCCTTTTTTTTCTTCTTACGTGTAAAGAGGGAGCATATGGGTCCATATGCATCTTTGTGTGGGTGTGAGAAATAGAGAGAGAGGCCACACATCGAACACTTGGAGTCCATGTTCGTCTTCTTCTTCTTCTCATATGTAGAGAGATATAGAGAAAGTGAGAGAAGGCCAATACCAGGCCTTATTTTTGTTTGGGTGGATTTGAAATTTTAATTTTTTTAAGGGATGTCACTAGGTGGACGCTCAAATCGCCTAGGTGCCCACCTCGACTGCCTAGGCACCTACCTTAGGCATGCCCGCCCAGACACCTAGCCAGGTACCTAGGCGGCAAGGCGGCCGAATTTTTGTTTATTTATATGTGCTAAGGGAAGCAATGCATTGAACATCAATTAAGCTAACGTTATGTATTGACTGATGAGAGTCTGATCCTTAAGAAGGATTCACGAGTCTATTTTCGCGAATCCGTCAAGTTCATTGCCATGAATGTTACATATCACTTGCGTGCATGATGAGGTTGTTGTTAAGTGGATTATCCAGCCTTAACATATACAAACAATTGCCTATATGAATTCTTTTACACTGCACGCTGCGCGCACACACACAAACACATATATGCACCTGCTCACAGAAGCACACGTACAATTTTCTTAACTAGCAAGGAGAAAGACAGTAGACCTCTTTCCAGACACAAACATTCACACATGCAATGCACTATTCTAAATATTTGCTATGTTGTAATATTCTATGCAACTTGAAAACTAATGGCTTTGATGGTGGTATTATGTACTATACAAGGTGAATGTTGAGTCTGTTCGATCTTACAGCACAACCTTTGTTCTAATGGTGTTTGATTGTTTGGCCCATGCCCAAACATGCCCTTTTGGGCATGTCTAATGCTCTCTCAGCATCCCCACTAATCCATTGCATTGGGACCACCACATTCCATCAGTGCCAACTAAAATACGATCTAGTTCTCAAAATTTGCATTATTCGAAATAATTGTGGAGATACAAAAATAAAAATGTATCATCTAAGTCAATCATGAATGCATGCCAAATATGAGTGCTTATCTAATGTGAAGTCAAGGGGGTTATTCATTGCTCCATTAATCATTATGCTGGTTAGAACAGTATGAAAATGCTGGATCTTAATACACATGGCTCGAACTTGCTAGGGCCCGGAACTGGAATCGGTCAGAGAATTCAAGTCAGAGCCAGACTTGAGCAAATTTATTTGAAAATAACAACAGGGGCCCAAGGCTCGGGATAGATGACTCCCTCCAGAATCATTGGTTACCAAACCCGAGCTGACTCGGGTCATTTATGTATATTTACCCAAATTGCCAACAATTGAATTCATGTCTTAGTGTTGAAACATCATTCCCATGTGGAAGGAATACTAATATTGGTCCTATATTCTGGCCCATAAAAGGCACACATGATGACCCTTATATGCAGTAATCTGGACTCAAGAACAATGTTTTTAGACTCAGCTGGGGCCCTGGACTCTGTCCTAGCCTGAGCCGAGCAAAAGACCTTAAAATAATTTTTAGAAAAAGAATTGCTAAAAAAAAATAACGAGCTAACTTTGATCAAGAATTCGATGTAGAAGCTGATGAGATTCATCGCACGCCAGAAAACCACTAGTAGATAATTTTTTTTAAAAGTGAAACAAAACCAAAAACAACGAAATGAGCTGGAAAAAGTATACAAAACATGGCTTTAGAAAGAAATGATTTATGGTTGGAGACAATGCAAGAAAACCTAAGAAAAAGGGGAAAATACAAAAATAGGATATATGACAATAAAAACTCACAAATGAGTGTAAACAAATCTAAATTACATACATAATTTTTGTACATGAATTTGATTTTTTTTTTTGATATGCCCAAGTTGTGCCCCCGTACTAGGGGTCAGCATGGCAAGTCCGAGTAGGCCGACTCCGAGTGGAGCCAGCTCCAGAATTTAACTACTTCTCGAAAGCAAACCCGATGATCCATAAATATCAGAAAATAATAACCGGGTGATTCATAAATATCAGAAAATAATAGGGAACATCTTTTTTTGGTTGATGTTAGGCCCAGAGAATTCTGCCAAAGAATGAAGAACACCGGCCCAGAGAATTCTGCCAAAAGAATGAAGAAAACGACGGTCAGGGTCTATAGCAACAAGAATAACCCTAAGTTATCAGAGATCTCTCTCCCCGTTTTTTATAACCTTGTACCCAACAATAGCATCAGTGCATTCTGTCAATTCTTCACGACACTGTACCCAAGCGTAAGTATGAATTCCTTTTAAAAATCATCTCGAAGTTTCGAACGCTGGAATGCCATGTGGTTCGTTTTTAACGCCACACCCTTTAAACATTCAAAATGAGGAAGGTTCATAATATGGGAAAAAAAAGTTTATATTGAGCCGAGGCTCCAAACAATCAAATTTAAGCCTACCTCAAAAATTTCAGAGGTTGTTTTGATGCTCAAATATCTTCAAATTGATCATTTCGACATCAAGATGCATGAACATGAACAAACAATGGATCGCAAGTTTTGGAAATAGCGTATTTTGTGACACATTTTTAGGCCATCAATTTTCAAGATTTTCAAGTTTGTATAGATATGTTATTTTTGAAGCTTTAAACTTAATAAATAAACATGAAAATATATTTTAAGGCTATCACAAAGATTTTCAATATTGAAACCACATTTCTCGATACTATTCGAAGGTAGGCTCTAATTTGATTGTTTAGAGACTAGGCTCTATACAAACCACACCCTCAAATATAGTATGATGTTTTTAAGATGGGAAAAGTTTATATAGAGCCGAGGCTCTAAACAATCAAATTAGAGCCAACCTCAAAAATTTCTTCAAATGATGTTGTTTTGTTTTGATGTCCAAATATCCTCAACTTGATCATCTCGATATCAATATGTATGGACATGAGAAAAAAAAAAAAAAAAGGATTTCAAGTTTTGAAAATAGTGTATCTTGTAATGCATTTTTTGATCTTCAATTTTCAATATTTTCAAGATTTTTAAGTTTTCATAGATCTGCTCAATCTATACTATTTTTTAAGCTTTAAATTTTATAATTAGAGATGAAAATATATTTTAAGATTATCACAAAGATTTCCAATATTTAAACCGTATTTCTCAACACTATTTGAAAGTGCGCTTTACTTTCTAAACAAAGGGCACCCTTTTAAGATCGGACCGTCTTTAAACGGACTGTCTTTAAACCTTTAGAAAAAGGGTGTTGTTTGTATAGAGCCTAGACTCTAAACAATCAAATTAAAGCCTACCTTCAAATAGTATCAAGAAATGTGGTTTCAATATTAAAAATCTTTGTGATAGCCTTAAAATATTTTTTTATATTTATTTATAAAGCTTAAAAGTTTAAAATAGTATAGATCGATAGATCTATGAAAACATGAAAATCTTGAAAAATTGATAGTTAAAAAATGCTTTACAAAATACACTATTTCCGATACTTGAAATCCATATTTTTTTCATGTCCATGTATCTTGATATCGAGATGATCAATTTGAAGATATTTGGGCATCAAAACAACTACTTTTAGTAAAAAATTTGAGGTAAGCTCGAATTTGAGCATTTAGAGCTTTTCCCTTCGAAAAATGAAGTTTAAACAATATGGGATGGCATTTAAATCTTAAAAAAGAAAAAAGTTTAAATATTTAGAAAAATGAAGTTTAAATAATATGGGATGGCATTTTATTTTTATTTTTTTAAAATATTTAAAATCCGATATTTCTAATATCAAACCAAATTTAACTTTAATTTTTAAAAAATTTAACGCCGTCAGATATTTAAAACATCAGACTTATTTAAAAATGATAACAGTATCTTGAATCACGAAAGCCCCTCGGCCTATCCCTAAACTTCAAAAATAAAGCAAAAAGTAAAATAAACACCAGTTGGAGGCAAAACTAAAAATAAAAAATAAAACAATAGCAAGGGAAGTTTATATGCGGTACAAATATAATTCTTCCAATATTATACAGAATGAGGAAATTCCATCCCCTCTTTGCCCTTTTGACCCGATCAACCTCGTCATTGTCACATGCATCCATTCTTAACATCTTACTTCCTCATTAGAAAAACAGAAACTAAATTATCCAGTCAACAATTGAGTATTGACTACAGGGTGGCATTTTCATTCCAATCAAGCACTTCAATATATAATGGGTGGGGTTTGTATACGGTGTCAATTTTATATTATTGAAATAAGGTGCACCTCAAAACTATGTCGAAAATGTAATTTTGGTGTCGTAAAATCTTGCAATGATATGAAATTCTATTGTTGTCCTCAATTATGAAATTTAAAGTTCAAAAAAAGGTGATGATTAAACATATCTATAAACATTTAAAAATCTTAAAAATTGTGGCCCTGATAATGGTTTAGAAGGTGAACAATTTTTAAGACTAGAAATATTTTAATCCCATCCTTTGTTATGCTTTTTGCCTCTACTTCGTTCAAAAAAACACTAAAAAATAAGGTATTCCATAGACTCAGCGAACTTTTTAATCGTAAAGTCCACGTGTTCCCCAAACTTATTCGAGCTATTGTCCTCCTATATCTATAGTTTATTATGAACTGTTTTCCCTTCCCATTTGAGTTCAAAAATTCAAAGTAAAATGAGAACAAGATCTCTCTCTCCCCTCTCTCGCTCTCTCTCAATCCACTGTGCAGTTAAAATCCAAATTATAAGAGGACCTCCATTTTGCTTCACCCACCACTAGGGCTGCCACTGTGCCGGGCCGGGCCTGATAAGCACCAAACTACTTTGGCCAGTCCCGGTGAGGCTCGGACTGAAATTTTCGCTTTAAAAGTCCGGAATATGCTAAAATATTTTAAATTTTTTTAAAAACAATGGCTTCTAAATGGGCCAGGCCGGGCTTTTATTTGGATAGGGCCTTATATTTTGGGCTTACCAGGCCGTTCCGGCCCGGTGGCAAGTTTTGGGGCTTTCCAGGCCACATTTCGGGCCTTGCCCTCGTAAAAAGTAGCATTCCTGAGGCCCAGTCCAAAGCCCATAACAGGCCCTGCTTTGGTCCAAGAACGGCTCGGAATCCTGGTGTGGCCCTGAAACCTAGAGGCCCGGACCATTGGCACCCCTACCCACCAAAGATAAAAGGCTTGTGCAAGCTTTCTTTAAGACTTTCTATCGCATAGAATATTATATCCTTCTACTTTCCTTACTGTCGAACACACAAAAACAAAGGGATAGAAATACAAAAATCCATTTAAAGACTTTGACTTTTGGTGTTTTGTCAATTAATTATAAGGTCAATGATTGTGAGTGAAGTTTAAATCCTTCTAATTTATATCCTATTTGCATCACCCTCTCCCTAAGCTCACTTCCTTGTCCTTGAACCATCTCATCGGCCTACAATTCTTCCTACTTCTTTGTCCTTGAACCACCTCCCCTGCCTTCAATTTTTTCTGGTTTTCTTAAGTAGCCTGGATATTTCAAGGCTCTTAGCTCTGTGCTACAAGCCCACTTGATAGCCATGACAACCATTTTGTCACCTTTTCCTCATTCGAGCAAAAGCCATGTCTATCATCATTAATCCCCTTGCCGAAATTGCAAAAATTCTGGTCAGTCCCCTTATTCGTCAGATTGGATACCTCATAAGCTCCAAATCAAATGCCAGAGATCTCGCACTTGAAAACGAACGACTTAAGGCGCGAAGGTCTGATTTAATGAGAGAAGTCGAAGCAGCAGAGAGAAATGGGAACATGGCCACGAGCGAGGCGCAGGTGTGGTTCAAAAGAGCCGAAGATCTGCAAAAAGAGGCCGACAAAGTGATTGACACATACAATGAGAAAAAGAGTTGTTGTGGGGGGGGGGGGTTTGTGCAAATTGCCCCTCCAACTACAAGCTGGGAAAGAATGCAGCAAAGCAACTTCCAAAAGTCACAGCTGACACTGATGGAGCGAATTCAGTTCATTGGACCATGGATGCACCACCACAATTGGGGCGAGAGATGCCTACAGCACCATTCACAGGTCAGACATCCCTTGAAAAGAATGTAAATGAGATCTTAAATTTCATAAACAATGATGAATTGTGTGTGATTGGCATTTTTGGTATGGGTGGAGTTGGTAAGACACCGCTCATGCATCATGTTAACAATCATCTTTTAGAAACTCAATAATTCACTAAAATATTGTGGATCACAATATCAAAAGAACTCAATATATCAAGAATACAAAAGGAAATGGCTCAATAATTGGGTTTATCATTAACCGCTGAAGAAGAAAATAGGACAGGAGAGAAGTTGTTTTCAATTTTAAAGAGACAAAGATTTATGCTCATCTTAGATGATTTGTGGGAGAAGTTGGATTTGAAAATTATAGGAGTTCCCCAACCAGATCCACATAACAGATGCAAGGTAATAATAACAACCCGTTTTCTAGATGTTTGTAATGAGATGGACACTGATAAAACTAAGAAAGTCGATGTCTTAGATGTGGAGGATTCTTGGAACTTGTTTCATAAGATAGTAGGAGAAGTGGTAGATTTCCCAACAATAGAACCCCTTGCATTGGAGGTAATTGAAGAATGTGGTGGTCTGCCACTTGCAATCATCACCGTCGCTTCTGCAATGAAAGGGAAGAGCAGCATTCCCGTCTGGAAGAATGCTCTGAGAGCCTTGCGCAGGGCATCAACAGAAATAAAAGGTATGGAACCCCAAGTCTTTCGATCATTGAGATACAGCTATGAGCGGTTGGAGAGCCAAAGCATGAAGCAATGCTTCTTATATTGTTCCTTATTCCCCTAGGACTACACAATTTCGAAGGAGCAGTTGGTAGAGTACTGGATATGGGAAGGGTTCATAGGTGGAGTGGACAGCATAGAGGATGCAAGAAACAAAGGCCATGCTCTTATTGAAAGCCTGATAGACTCTTGCATGGTAGAAAGGGTTCCTGGAGATGATACTTTGGTGATGCTTCATGATGTGATCCGGGATTTGGCAATATGGATCAGTTCTTCCTCGGGAGAGGTCGGAAAGTTTGTCGTGGAAGCTGGTTTGGGTCTAAAAGAAGCACGCAAGGGGAGAGAGTGGAAAGATGCAGAAAGGATATCACTATTTCTGAATGAAATAGAGAGACTTCCAAATCGGCTAGAATGTTCACACGACCCAACACTGATACTGCAGCAAAACAAAACATTGGTGAACATTCCAGATGGCTTCTTTGAATGTATGGTAGCCCTCAAGGTGGTGGATCTCAGTTTGACTAGCATACGCTCATTGCCTGTCTTTATCAAATTTGAAGAACCTTCGTTGCCTTCTTTTAACATAGTGTG